GTGTGACACCAGTCACGAATTGGAACGCTTGGAACAAGATGCGGCACCATCTGGATGGCTATGTCAGTGGGATAGGTATAGTATACCATCTAAAATTTGTGTATTATTTCATATAAATAAACATGAATCGTACCAAGACATACAAGACATCGTGTATGTTATACACGTCATTATTTTAAAAATTTTCAAGTCATATAATTTTCGCACGTATCGTTACAGTGAGATATAAAATGGTGAAAACGAATGATTAAAATTTTTATTTCAAATTAATTTTCTTCATATTATTCATTCTAATAAAATTATATTTTGAATTTGAAAAAAATATAATGTTCAAATTTCTTTTGCTTTGAATTTCTCATAATGTATGTTTAAAATGTAATATTCAAAAAATTAAATAGAAAATTTTTATATTTTTATTAAGAAAAGAGAAACTTAATCAATTTGATTTTATCAATTTCAGAATAAAACTTTACAAAATTTCTTACAAAGTTTTTAGGATCATTAATTTTGCTTATATCTTTTAGAAAAAAATATTTAAATCAAATCTAAATTCATTGAAATCTTATATAAATGTGCGAAAGATACCGCGTTATCATAATATAATAATAATGATAAAAAGATAGGTCTGTGTTCAGAGTGGAGCCTTAAAGACCATATGTGTATTATATATCTGAAATATCTGATGAACAAAAAATATATGGAAAAATTAATAAACTGTTAGTGATTTAAAATATGAAGATTATAATATCCAATATATTTAAATATGTCAAGAAACAAAATTTTAAAGTAATGAAAGAAAACTTATTTCGGCTAAATGAAGAAACAGAAACTGCATCAAACAATACAAGTGGATAAAATAATTCATTAAAAATATATTCATGGAATTTTTAAAACATTGAAAAAAAAACATAAATTATGTAACTTAAAAAAGCTACTTACTATCTTAAGGGAATAGATGAAAACAGGGAAGATCGTTGCTGGAAGGAAATATTAAGTGTTAAAAGAAGTTCACATCAAGTTAACTCAAGTTCTTCTTGGATGAAACCTCATGAAGAAACTCAAAATCTCAAGAAATTATATTCGCCGAAAGTTATCGAGTAATTGGAATAACAAGGAATACCAAAGTTGTTAGTCGTGTATTAAAATAACAATACTTGTAGACAATCGTAACACATATGTTATAAGAAATTATTTTTTTCTTATATTATATTCTATGTACATATTTTTAATGTCACATATATACGTCATTTGTTTCTTGTTCAAAAAAATACATTCCATCATGTCTAACAATTTGTTTAAATGTGGCGATTCAAAGACGTTTCCCTTAGTTTCTCAACAAGTGCACATCATCGTATATCTTCGAAAATCATTTTCTGGCCCTTGCGCCTTTAATTACACACATAATCAATTCACTTAATATTTCGCTAGCGTAACGCAGACGTTGTCGACGTAATTCTCAATGTTCGTGTTGCGGAAGACAGCGGCTTCTATGTAACTGCTAAGTAACACTTAATCCTTTTGTAATAAAAGGGCCTCGCTGACTTAATGGCACGCCGAGTTGCAGGTAGGAGTATTAACTGATTGTTTTCTAGCTAATAAATTGCTTCAGAACTCAAGGAGAACGTTCCTTTCATGGAGTAACGTCTCTCTAATGTTTGTTAATGTAAAAAAAGTATTCAAATAAATCTTTTTTATCTATCATTGTATTATATATTTTTGCGGGCTTTTTTCCAGGTCGCATAAGCGATATTATTACCAGAACACTACCACTGGAATTACACAATGGACCTATCCAGATACTAGCATCGCCGGTGGAGCTGAAGAAATGGAAATTTGTTCCACACCTCCTCCAATGGAACAAGAAGAAATTATTATACCTGGTATAATAAAATTATTATTATAAGTAACATGTATAATATATTTCTTTCATATTTGCTAATTAGTATTTATATTTATATTTGCCAATAGAAGAAGATGGATTGAGATCAAAGCCAAAGGAATCACAGGAAAATGGTGAGATAGCTGAAGATATGACAATTTTAAGGAACAATGACATAGAAGCTCCACCTCCACCTCAAATTTCAAACCCAAGCCCACCTCCGCCGCCAAGAATTTATGCAGAAGATTTAAAAAGAGACAAGAAAAAACAAGATAAATGTAATGAAAATTTGAATGACAAAAAACATTTGGGAGAAGGTAAATCTTTGTTATATAATTTTTCTTTTTACATAGAATTTTAAATCTAATTTAATATATTTTCTTCTTTAGAAAGAACAGGAATTATAGAAATAAAGCAGTTGGAAAATTCTACTGCATTATCGTCTGCCTTATTATCACCTCAACCTTCTAATCTTGTAAATGTAACTAGCGCGGAACCTCTGCCGCCAGGAGTAGATTTAACCGAAGCCCCTTACGAAATATCTGCAACAGCATTAAAAAGAATTATATATGGTGCTGTGCAACCACCAGGTAGTGCTCTTTATGATACAACTGCAAGAGATCCAACAGTTTCTATTCTAAGTCATCCAGCGACAATAGTACAAGAACATTATCTTCAATATCCAGCATATCATCAACATTTGCATGCTGTATGTTATTAAATAGATTGATATATAGTAATTTTTAATCAGTAATTTCTACAATTAATTTTTTATATTTATCAAATAGCCAGCAGCCTTAGTACTTCCACATAAGCATAGTGTACAGCCTGCAATTCAATTAATACCTGACTATACTCCAATATATACAAATCATAAAGTCATTGAAAAACCGCCAGTTAAAACAGCAAAGGAATCTCTTGTATCTGCTTTAGATTCATTTTATAATGATATTGCACGTATAGAAAATGTTGAAGCAGAAAAAATTTCTCAAAGACAAGAAAATCCAGTGGAAGTATCTTCTTTATCAATAGAAGAAGTAAAAGTGGAAACAGAACAAGAATCTATTCCTTTTGAAACTACTATAAAAGAAAAAAAAAGAAAAAGGGTAAATATATATATATAATATATAATAAAAAATAGAATTATAAATTTCATAAATTATTAATTAAAAAAAAATAATATTATATTATTATTTCAGACAAGAATTGGTATTAGTAAGAAACATAAAGAAGTGTCTAGTATGGTAGCAAAATGGCAAAAAGTACAACAGAATTTTGAAAATACATAAATTGGTTAGTTAATCTAACATTTAAATGATATTTTTTTATATTTTTTTAAAAAATATATATATTTTACATATAAAATTTAAAATATTATTTTTTTAGCTGCAACTTGCTGATATTTAATTCATTCAACACAAATAGCGCACTATACTTTTTTCAGTATAGTGTTTCTGTACCTGTAATTAATATTATTATCCTACGCACTTTTTTTTATCTTTAAAATTCAAGAAACTTAACAAAAGAAATGTGAAAAATAATGTAAAAATAAACAATTTCTGAAAAATAATATAAACACGTATTTTCAAAAACACGTATTTTTTTTTATTTTTGTGTAGAAAGTATAAATTGATTAGTTTGAATGCTCATTAATTATAAAAAAAATACATTATCATGATTTATAAGTATTTGAAATAAAAAAGTATTGTAATTTAATCATACAATTCCATTATTTTTATGTATTTAGATTTATATTATACTTTTCAAAATTTAGAACTTTATTAATTTTCACTAAATCATAAAAAAAAAACAAAGGAAATGACAATCGCAAAAGAAACAGCTAGACAATTCTATTTATTATGGTCTTAGCCTTTCAATCTCACAAAATCTCTCTCTAAAAATGATTTGAATAATTTTTATTTTATAAATATTGAAAAATATAAATAGTTTATTTTTAAAAGTGATGGCTATTTGTTTGTTTAAAGTTTTAAAAACAAAATAAAATAAAATATTTTGATTATACTTAAATATTTAATTAAAAAATTTTAAGAAAATTATTGAGAATTCAGTATAATTGCAAAAATTTATTTATAATATTATATTCGTTACATAATTCTTTTTGTAATAATATGTATATATATGATTAATAAAAAAGAAAGATATATATATATATATATATATATTATATGAAAGAACAATTGTAAAATTCATAGTTTTTTAAATTCTCTATTTTTAATTTCAATCCTAATAAATGAAAATGTAAATGAAGTTAAATTACAAATTTTTAATTAAAAAAAATTATATTATTTAAAGTTTTTAATTTTAAAAATATTTAAATTTAATTAGTTTT